CATAAATAACGAGGCAAGCTTCTTTTTCTGTATTGTCTACAGCTACATGTATTTTTAATGTTTGAACAATGACATACCAAAAAGAAGAAAAGGAACAGTTCTTCATCTTCAKAGACAGCACAAATGTATCATGTTCGGACTTCTGCTGCCTTTTGTTACTTTTAATTAGTTTATCTTACTTAAGAGTTCTGCTTCCAGGGATGCTTTAGTAACGTTTATATAACATCTGAGAGTCTTCAGGGAAGRATCACAGTGAATTTTTTTTCTTAGGAGCAGGTCTTCAAGTTACTTTCAAAGCACTAGCTGTGTCATCCCTTCATACCTTTTCCTTTATTTCTTCCTCTTGCTTCTGACTTTGAGGCATCTTTCACAATGCCGTAATTGCTTTAAGAAACCTCACAATAAAACCTTTTCCRATTTTTATTGTATTTTGCATACACRAATACAAAATAAAAATATTATCGCCTCATCTTTCTTACAATTTTTTATAATGAAATATAATTAGTATTGTCACCCACCTATAACATATTGCAATGCAACACAGAGTTTGCAGTTTGGTTTCACCCTTTGGCCAATCAGTGCTGGGTTTTTCTCTGAATCTGTGTAAGAAAGGCCTGAAAACAACTTAATAAATTTAATGTTTTAAAAAGACAGAGTAAAGAGCAACAGAGACAGCAAGTAAATCAGAAGCCATGATGCCCACATTCCCACAGCATTGGATTGACCCTGGATGGATCTGTCCCATGGCAGGCTGCACAGATCCCATCTGTGGACAGAAGATCCTCTTTGATTGAGATAGTTTAGTTTTTTCTTCCAAGAACACAACTATTCATAAAGGATATTCACAAGAGAGGTTCACTCCTTGCCATGCTTCTAGATAAAGGCAAGGCCATKCAGGTGGTGAAATCATCCACACTCTGTGCCAAGGAGATGTTGGAGTTAATCCTGTTTCCAGTGGTTTTGTCCATCACAACCCAGGCCTGGAGGCAGCACAGCAYAGACATGAGCCTGGTCCAGTTTACWGTAAACCTCTGRCTCCTGGAYGTACARTGCTCTCCTGGCCAGGATCATCACACTCCTGCTTCCAGCATCTCCAAAGAGTGTCTGTTTTTCACTCATRTTTTGCCTCCTTGCACATCCCAGAGTAATAATGACCAGTGCATTTTGGCCTTTGAAGTGCGGAAATGAGAAAAGAGTGTTGTTGATATCAAAGTTTTGTTTTAAGTGTCTATTTTCTCTGGTTTTTTTTCTTCATGTTTTTAATTTTTCATATAACCTGCTGAAATTAGTGATGCTGAAAGTATGAAATATCCCAGTTTAGGGCTGAACGCACTGGCAAACAGCCTTGCACAGAACTCACTGAACTGTTTTGTCTGTCATTTTCACAGTATAGTATTTTTTATACCCTCTCGGATTCTGTGATGGGGCAACCTTTAGTGCACTGACATTTTGTGTTCTTCCTCTTCAGACTAAAGCATACTGGTCAAATTTGAGACACATGACTGGGCAAGGAAATGCAAGGGAAATGGGAAGTGGAAGTAATAAATTATACATGATGAGTTGTATTTTTGTTTTYGTGCAGTAACATTTTAATGACTGCAGGTTTGTTAGGTGACCCACAGTCCTAAAAATTTGTTTTTAGCAGCTTTCATGCCGCCCTGGTGTATTTCTTGAGGAAACTGCTCCTCAACTCTGAAAAGCAGTACAGCAAGCATAGGTCCTTGCCATATTTCCATGCTRATTTTATTTACTAGGCTGCCAAAAGACAGACACAGGAGAATTAATTAATGTGCTGACACTCTCAGATGTGATTTTTGTGGATCTCTCTGGATTACCAAAARCAACTGCCAGTGAGTGATCAAAGCAAATGTTCATGTTGTTCTGAACTGCCTGCAACAGCAATTCTTGCAGATGTGTCTGTTGCTGAAGTTTCTTTCATACTTTGCARGAAATAACCATATAATATAATGAATTTATTGATGATATGAGCTGGATTGCCTGCTGAAATGAGAAATGCTTTTTGCCRCTCAAAGCAGCACTGAAGCAAACTCAGGTGGTTTCTTGAGGTATTCTGTAGCATGGAGAAAATCCTATAAGAGAGAGGAGTTCCTTTTAACATGCCCATTTTTATCTGAATGCAGGTGTGGCAGGATATAATGTGATGATTCACTGCTGGCCCTCAACTGTCAGGAGGCCTCTAAAGCTTGCTAGTAGTTACTTCATAGAAAAGCTTTTGGATTTCTGTTGCCCTACAGAAGGCAATTTAACTAGGTCATCAGTACACATGCTTATCCATAGTCTTATCAGACAGGTAGTTTTAGACCAGGAATTAGACTTGTTTAATGCACTTTCTTGTTCTTGTGACTGAATCAGTTTGGTTTGGTTTTAGTTCCAAAATGATAAATCAGCTTCATGTGGAGAGTAAATATCTATGAATCTTATAGCTAATTTATGTCAGTTTAGACAACTAAAATGCATCCCTGTGGAACTGAAATCAGCTGAACTACTTTGTGCTCAAATGGATATATGCTCAYTATTGGATGGCCCAATTAAGATTTCTATTATAGAATGAGATKTCTATTGAATGTAGAGTGGAATTGRAGCATTGGGGAAAATAYAGTGTTTTGTTGGTAYGTAACAATAGCAAAATGTTCTCCTTAAACTATTCTTGAGGCACTACTGGAAGAGTCTCAGTAGAAGAAAATCCTGCCCAAAACCAGTGTCCAGAACTGAGGGCGTTAATCAGTAGTACATAACATGACATTGACCTTATTTGTTCCCAATCTTCCTCTTTTTTTTATTATTGTAAAAGAGAAGTTGAAAATGCATCATGTTGTTCGAACTGTTGCGTGCAAAATAAAGACGGGCTATGGATATTTTACTCCAACTTTAATTTTTCTGTATTTCTTAGTTCAGTGTTTTTCACTTATTTGTGATTCAATCCTGATTGAATTAATATTATTTATATCTTGTTTAAGCTTTTTGTGCTCTAGTATTAGATTCTAGTTTCAGAAGGGAATGGGTAATTACCCAGCATATYATCTTGCTCTGACAAGACAGAACAAAGAATTTGAATGCAAGGTAGCAATCTGAGCTGCTTCCTGACCTCGGGGTCTTCTTTGGCTTAATTGATTTGATTTGAGCTTTAAATGTTTTTCTTTGCTATCTGTGGTTCACAAAGATTGAACTGATGGATCAAAGGTTAGACTTTGTAACCACTTTAAATATCAAAGTTAATGTACTGCTGTGAAGAGTATAATTTTGGGAGATGCCTCACCATAAAAGAACCATGAGGTTCAGTTATGCACTAAAAGCACACCCAAATAGTTTAGTAAACTCTATCATGCTGTTATCCTTCATTTGAAAGCTGTGGATATGTATGTCATACCTGCTTTAATAGAATGTTTGTTTCAAAGACATGAATTATCTGGTATACTCCTGTGTACCATATCAGTTCAGCTACTCTGTTATTAATTTAGTATACATAAACATGCTGGAGATTAATTGGCCACATTCATCTCCATTTCTATTTACTAAGACTTGTCACAAAYACAAATGACAATGGAAGGAAATTAGAGAGTCCTCTGAAATCTATCAGAGATGTCTACAGTCTACAATTTTTGTGATTTATTCTTTGTGCCTCCTTATCTGGAAAAGTTTCTTCCTGGCCCAATAGTAGATTGCTGAAGTCTTTCATATCAATGCTTTTATATGACTTATAGCCAACATTAATAAAAAATGGCAATAATTAATATATTTGAGTTATTTAATAATAAAAAAATGCGTAATGTAAGGTTGTTCAGCTAAGTCAAAACTGGCARCTTATAAAGCACAAGCACTGTGCARAGATTGCTGTCAGAAAGTTTAAGTCTTGTCATAGTTCTCTCTTAAGGTTTATAAAGCAATTTAGTACTAGGATGAACAGATGGAGCATCATCTTTTCTAGGTCCTTATGGATTAAAGCTTTCAGTTATGTTTTGGTCAGAAGGCAATTGTTTGAACAATAAGCTCAGTCTATGTGTCTTTTAAAAATAACTGGAATTTGTGACCTTGATAAAATGTGCATTTTTGTCATATTCTGAGACTGGGTATATTCTTTTTATTATGATTCCAAAAGTAATTGAACCAACCGTATCCATGATACTGAAGACAGTCTTCTATTTACTCTCTTAAATGCTTTCTGCAGAACCGCAGTGCAACCAGTTATTCTCCATCCAGAATACAGTAGTTGATAATACCGTGATAATTTTGTCCCTATTCAGTTGCATCCTGCTTTTTTTCCTTTTTTTTTATTTTTTTTTTTAATACTTATATTTTGTTGTGGATGTTAGTTTGTTTTAGTTTTTATTTTGTCTCTAGAACGCCTGATTATCACAATCATTCTGAAACTTAATCCTCTTCTCTGGAACGGGTGCAAATTCTCTTGAGTTTTCGAGAAAGGCAAAGGGAAGCCTACCTTTAATTCTTCCCAATGGTGTCAGTATAAAACCACACTGAAAGAAAATATGAACTACAAAAACGGTGAAAACCACCATGCTTTGCATACAAGCAAGATCTTTACTGATCAGCGCTGTCTCTAAAAGAGAGGCCTTAAAYGTGCCAAAGTTAAATAAAAGAAATGGATTTCTAGAACTCGAATGAAAACTGCTTTTATGTTACTCTTTTAGTTATGTCAATCTTTCATTCCGAGTGCATGAATGCAAGGTGAAAACGGTTGTATCAGTAACATCCTAATTGAATCAGAAATGCTTACATACACACTTTAGTTTAAAAACAGGATGTAATGAAGAAGGGAAAAGAACAATAGATGGATATAACGTAGGTTGTGCAGCATAAGGAGGCAGGACCGCATCTCCCGTCCGCTCCCGCTGTGCCTCAGCGGAAGGAAGGCTCCGCAGCGTCACCGCCACGGCTGCGCACACGGCCCGGCGCCGGGCTGCTCCCCGAGCTTTTCCCTCCTTCTCCTTCCCTTCCTCCTCCTCCTTCCCTCTTCAGGGTCCCGATGGCGACGAGTGACACGGGAAGGGCCCAGCAGCAGGTGAGGGGCGGAGGGGGCGAGGGGGCTGCGGGGACTTCAGAGGGCTCCTGGTGAGCCCCGGCCCCGTGAGCGGCTCCACGGCCGTGGTGACAGGTTTGCACCGCCCACCCCCTTCAGGTGTTTCATTTCCAAGTGAAAGGCACTTCTCCGGCTTTTCTTTATGGGAATTCGCTGAGTATCCACTCATCCCGAGGAAGGGCTTAGTGGCAAGCCCTCGGGGTCTTTCGCCTGCCGGGGGTCCGACCCAGCCGGGAGCGGCCCCGGTTGGGAGCTGCAGGGAATGTGTTGGCTGGTGCTCCCTGTCACTTTGCTCACCTTGTCACTCCTGAGAGTGACAGCATTATCCACAGAAATTCTGTGATGTGTGGGTGTGTGAGAACTGAGCAAAGGTTACTTACAAAATCAGAGTCAATTAGGTTGGTAAATACCTCTGAGATCATCGAGTYCARCCTATGACCGTACACCRCCATGTCAAWTAAATYGGRGCACTGAGTGCCACRTCCAGTCTTTCYTTAAACGCCTCTGGGCATGGTGACTCCACCACGTCACTGGGCAGCCCATTCCAATRTTTAATCAYCCCTTCTATGAAGAAACTCTTCCTAATGTCCAATSTAAACCTCCCTTGGTGCAGCATAAGTCCTGTGGTTCAGGACTGGATCCCCAATACTTACGGCCTTCCATTGTAGTGAATCCTGTCACATCTGTCAATAAGATGTAGAGAGTAAGTCTTCAAAAAAATGGAAAAATGATTGGCACACAAGATTGTGTGGGCTTTATGGGGGTTTATTTATGGGGGTTTATTTACTTTTGCTTTTTTTTTTTTTTTTTTTTTTTTTTTTTATTTTTTTTTTTTTTTTTTTTTTTTCTTTCTTTTTTTTTTTTTTTTTTTTTTTTTTTTAGATTGATGAAATTGAAGCCCTTTCGTCTATCTATGGTGACGATTGGTGTGTTGTTGATGAAGATGAAAAGATCTATTGCATTAAGATCACTGATTGTCTGGATCAACCAAAATGGACCCTCTGTTTGCAGGTATATTGGTRGTAAGGATTTTGGGACAAAATTTGCAGTTGGACTGATGCAGGTGAAACCCTTTAAATATGGTTTATTGTCTACTGAGATGGATTGGAATCTGTGATAAGACTTCAGTGACAATTCCTGTAATAGATCAATATGCTTGTGATACATGCAGTAGTTGCATATCCTAATTCCACACCTGACCAAAACATTTCAGTGTATGTCACCAAAGATTAATTTCTTAAATGTTTCTTACATCAATTTTGCATTTCAGTGAATCTGCTGCAGTCACTTCTAGATTTGCTTTCTGTAAAGTGTGGAGACGGAACGAATTGATCCAACTCCTTTATTTTTTCAGAACTGAAAGCACTAAGTTTATTCAGTGTAAGAAACACTGAAGTGTTTCACTTAGGGAAGTGCGCTGCCACCTAAATGAGTCCAGTAATCATTAGTGCAGCTTCTTTTAATTTTTTTCTGTACTTTATTTCTAATCCTTATAAGTTGCCCCATAAAACATAATTGYATGCATTACCATTACTGGAATTTTAAATGCAGATATTCAGTTATTGTAATTCTGTAACAACATACCCAACTATTTTATTGATTTGTAACACTAATTGTAGTCCTAGTCTTGACATCAGTCCTTCAGTAAACTCTAGCTAGCTGAGAGTAGTCCTGTGAATGCATATCCTGAATTTCTTCCAGGTGATTTTGCCACCAGGATATCCAACTTCAGAGCCACCTATYTATCAACTAAAGTAGGTAAAGTTTTGTTACAAGCATCTGTGTTTTCTGAATTGCCGCTTGTSTTGGGTTGATTTTATMATAACACTGTRTTCCTATATTCYRTCTGCTTTCATGCCCCAAYATKTGCCAGTACCTTTAAGGCAGATGCGGGAGAAGGAACAGGGGCTGCTGGGAAGGCAGCGSGGGCAGTTCAAAAGCGGGACTGCCGCGTGTCCCTGGAGCTCAGTGAGCCACGGGCAGGGGAGTTGCGTTGTTGYGTCTTAGCTYGGGTTTGTTGTTAGCTTGGACAAGCTGCTTTCCCTGGACTGCAGTAGCCACCCTTCAGTGGCTCCTGTGACYTTTTTCTGGAGCGGTTCGGTGGGGCTTTGGTCTCAGAACCAAAGTCAGCTGCCGATCAGTTGGAGACCAGAGGGAAAAACTTCAGGGGGGCTTAGTGTCCACCCTGGACTCCAGAGGAGCCAAACCAGCAAGAGAAAGCACACTGAGACTCCTGGTTCATCTACCGTGAAGAGAAGACTATCACCACAGGTTCTACCAWGTTCCCACTGTTTTCCCGAGCAGCCACGTAGACTTCCTTAATTTCTTTTCCCTGGGTCAAGAGCTGTGCCATCTTTCTCTGCACCACGTGCTGAGCRGCTGTGGGGGCAGGAGCGATGTGCGTTCCTGGAATTTTAAATATCTAACAGTTACTCATTTTTTATCCGTGTCTTGCGAGCACCCTGKTTTTTTTGTTAAATAGAAAACTTTTTATCTTCACTTTCACCCAAACATTTGTTTCATATTAGTAAGAAAAAATTACCAAACTTTTTACTTCAGAGGAAGCGTTCATTCCATAACGTTTCCCTCTGAAAAAAATGTCTCAAACTGAGACACCATTGTTACTGGTTTACCATGTAAGTGGAAGTTTATTTAAAATACTCCTTGAGTTAAATTATGCCAGTGATAGGGGATGTTTCCAGTAAGGGTATTCTATTCTTTATCCTTCTTTTCCCCAGATGTTTATACCTGGAATCTTGATGGTTGGCAAAGTTGTATTTTCAGCGTGTTGATCACATTTATTTGGAAGTATTAGAAGCAGTACATGGCACAATTTTCACTTCATTTCTTTTCATTCTAGTGCYCCTTGGCTTCGAGGACAAGATTATACGGAACTAGCAAATAGCTTGGAAGAAATTTATGTGTAAGTTCAAGACTGTGGAATATAGTAAAAGAGACAATGCATTTTCAGTTTCCATCTGTCCTGCAGTTGAATGTTAAAACACAGGATGTGAAAACATTTGGTTGTGTCTTAGAGCATAAGCATAAGAGCAAACCAGTTTTTCTTAAAAGCTAAGGGATAAGTAGGTTATAAAATAAAMACATACAGAATCTATTAACTGAGATAGGGAACATCGTGGACTGTTTATTATCACCATGTGCAGCTAACAACAAGGCATAATGGATGCATGAGARTAAACAGCATTTAGAAATACTCAAGTTATGGGGTTTTGAATTGCTGTGAAAGTGGGGTAGAAAATGTAGTAATTTTATGTGGTTTATTTATTTCTTTCAGATCCCAAAGRTAATATAAAATAAATTAAGTAAAAACATAAGGAGGCACAGTCATGCCCCAGATAGTGAAATCTGAGCATCTTGCATAAGAAATGTTTTTTTAATGCCATAAGTAAGAGAGCACTTAGCTTTCATAAGGGTTTTTTACTTTGATTAACTGGGTTTCCTAGCTAATTAAGCAACAGATCTTTTAAGCAAGTAAAATTTAATTTGAAGTGTTAAAAATGCGCAAGGATTTTAAGTGAAAAGTTCTGGGTGATCATATTCATTACAGTTGTTCAGTGGAGCAAAAAGGACAGAGGTTGTTCTTAATGCTGTGCAGATTCAAAGGATTTGTTGGAGTTTCTACCACAGGCAGAGCTGTTGCAGGTGGTTATTTAAATGACCAAAGCATCTRACACAAGTTGGCACGTTAGGACTCTGAGCATGGTTCTTGTTTTCCCCCCCTCTACAGTCCTGTAGGCTGTCAAATTGTGCTGGTTCAGCCCCTTGCAGCTCCCTTCTGTTGATATCAACTACTGGTCAGAACCCTTGCTGGTCTGCTCATTTTTGTTTGTTCATCAGGAAGTGAAAGTGTTTGTTCTTTAGGCCATATTTGTCATTTTAGACTGTATAAAGAYCTGGAGTAGTTACTGATGTACACAGTACTTATGAAAGCCTTTTATCTATTCAGTGTCTGAGTGGTTGTCAGATGAGCAGAGATGCTGTGCATCGTTTCCATTGTGTTTGAGCAGGTTTGTAGTCCCTAGGGGTCTAAGYTGTGTAGGTCTGCAGTCTAAACCAACATGAACTATACTGTCAATTGCTATGGAAGAAATGGATAATTATAGATCACAAATCTGTTTTGGGAGATGCGAAGTGTAATTTAAAACTATTCAGAAACTAATTGGGTGATGGCTGGACAAATTGCTATTTACTTTTGAAACAGGGAAATTTTATTCCATATCTAATCTCTCATTCCACCACTAAAAAAACTACTTCAGATATTAAAGTAGTGCTCTGTAAGATAAGCTGTGTTAAAGCAGGGTGTTGAATTGTTCTGGAGTCTTTCTGGATTTTGAAGTCAGAGCTACAAGTTCATAAAATCCTTATTTTTGCCTGAATATTTTTCTYATAATAAGTATGTTTATTTGAATTTGATTGTTTTCAGCAGTAATGCTGCACACATTAAGCAAAGTTCAAAGATGTCATTTTGTCACTTAGCTAGTGCCCRTATAGTGGCAGTAAGAATAAAATTAGAGAAGCCATGAGATATCTGTGGCCGTAAACCTTTAGTTTTGTTACATAGGCAAACATGCACAGTTTATGAACATTTTAACCACTTGAAATGTATTTTGTTGCTGCACATAATGGAGGCATTTCTTAATTCCTAACATGTGTATATCGAATGTGTTATCGCATCCTCCTCCAGTACCTTAGTGCTTCACACACCTGTGTCCCCTGTGTGAAGCCTCCTAGAACTAAATCTTTATCTCCCTGTCCTACAGCACTGCCTATTACCCAAACTGTCATTCCAGTTCTCCACTGACCTGCTATCATGGTCTGCTGATCTGTGTTTCACCCAGTGAACTACTGGGACAGAACATTACACAAGCCTGCCAAAGCTCTTTATCTCACTAACTTATGTTTGATTTCTGTGTGTCTGTAATCTGTATCTTATCTGATGCACTTTCTAAGTGAAATCTGCAAAAGTGATTCTTTATTTACCATGAGTTTTTACTTCCAGACAGAACCTTGGTGAAAGTATACTATATTTGTGGGTGGAGAAGATACGAGAAGTTCTGATAGAAAAGGCACAGTCTTCAGATCCAGGTACTTCAGAAAATATRTGGAGTTTTCATTTTCCTTCTTGTTTCACTGCAGAGTAAGTTTTCAGTAGCAGTTAGTTTAGTGTCAGGGATTATTGTTTTACAGTGGTAGCTTCCCTTTTTAAAAAGCAGTAGGGAAAAGAAGGTGGGGATGGCCTCTGAACTGGAGCAAGATCCTCAGTTCTCTCCAGRATGAAATTACCTGTATGAAAGGACAGTGCTGCCCACAGGTGCATTATGCATGCACTTCTGTTCTGCCAAGGAATTATTCATATCAGTAATTAATTTCTGGTGTTGAGTGCCCTGTTGGAGGATTTAGATTCAAGAGAAGATAAACTTCAGTGGAACATACAGACAAATGACCAAGTATTCTGTCATTTTACTTTTTCATTCTTCCATTCATTTTTCTGTATTGGGATGGGAAGTATATCATCAGTAGACCTSCAGTGATTCTTCTGCTGTTATTCTTGGAGAGTTTGTGCAAATTCASAGTTGTTCTTTCAAGAAATGGTGGGGGGATTTTGTACATTAAAATGCTAAACTGTTACGAAATGTGTAAGTGACATGTATGCATGAACATGTGGCAAAAGGAAGCAGAACTACTTTTCTCTGTCGGAAGTGTTATCTCAGTCATGTAAGGGATAAAATACTGAGGAGGAAAAAAAGTTTTATTTTCAGTGTTGTTTTGTGGTAAGGTCTAGTGTTAGTCTTTGTGCATTTTGTTGTTACAACATCTGAAACACGGAAGAAGTAATTTTTCATTGATGTGGCTGAAGGAGTGGACACTGAGCAGTGAAAATTTTACTGACAATATTGGGAGTTTGGGTATTTTGACCACAAMCTTATAGCTTCCATCTAATGATATTCTAGACCTTTTGAACAAGCTTTATCACCCCTCTGTTTTTTTAATGAAAATACATATATATTATAAAAACTGCATCATAAGCACATCATAGGCCCTCTAAATAGGAATCAAACTGTGTTATATTAATTTGTCTCTGAATCCAGATGCCAGAACACTCTATATTTCCTTCTTTGTTATTGACTATTATTTTTTGGATGTTCTATGCATGTAGTAAAAYAGGATTTTGGGAATCCCAGAATGCTTGAAACATGTCAAGAGTGGGGTTGAGTAACGACTCAACATTTTTCCCCAAATAACCAGTAAATGATTGGTGTTTCTGTGAAGCATCAGCCTAATATGATCTCTAAATTTAGATTAAAGGTAGAATTTAAAATGTTTAATGGAAATAGTAAACATTATTGGGTTTTTTTTCTTAAAAATACTGTTACTTAGTACTGAAACGGAAGACCTTCTGCAAGGATCCCGTAGCATATCCCATTAATTCCAAATATCCCATTGTTAATTCTCAGGAAGTTTTTACTTAGTACTGGGCTGAGTAACAACAATAATGTTGTTATTCTGCATTTCTTGATTTTTATGTCAAACTGTTTTGACATAAACTGAAAAGCCAGAGACATTTGAGAAAAAGGGTTTGAAATTTTGTTCTGTTTGTCTTGCAAAAAATGTGTAATAAATTCTACTTCTTGCATCTTAATAGAACCAGATATTAAGAAAACCACTGAAGAAGTTGATGAAGATGGTGAAGATGACTTTTTCCTAGACTATCAGCCCGTTCAGGAAGATCAAATTAAAGTGTTAAATTATGTGACATCTGAWAGTCAGGAAGGTAAAAAATATGCTCTTTTTAATTCTGTTAAAATAATTTAGAGACCTGAAAATATGAAGAGATCTGAAGATTCTGTTTTTCTGCTGAGCTTTAGAATAAAATCAGTAACAATAGAATTGTAATAAAGTTTAATAACAGTAATTAAAAATACAAGGTTTTTTTGGTGGGTTTGTATGTAATTTCCTGTACTTTGCTTTAACAAGTCCCTTTTTTTAAAGTTGAGACATTCTCTACTTTTGTAGCCACATGCGTTGTTTCTGTACTCTTAAAAGAAAAGAAACACTCCCTTGTTTGTGACCCATAGATGAAGAACTGCCACCCATACATCATGGAAACCCAATCACAGATCGAAGGAGCACTTTCCAGGCACATCTGGCTCCAGTGGTGACAACCAGACAAGTTAGTACAGATCAGTTCTTTTTGCCTGTACTTTGAGCTTGACAAAATATTACTGAAATATTTGGTATTTGTCTGTGCATCTGTCTGCCTGTGCGTCTTTCTGTGCAAATATTTTCTGAGGTATTGTCTATTTGAGATGATTTTTGTCCGTTGGGTTTCTTCAAGAATAATTGGAAATAGCACAGTATAGCTAAGGCAGATATTAAATACATGTATTGATTACTCCTCAGAGACTTTTTTTTTTCAATGAAAGGCAACTTGCTTGCCAGGCTTGTTTTTCCAAGCTTTTTCAACTTCAGTAATATTTTGTATTATGTACTAAAATGATGACTCAATCAAAAGCTCTTCTTTTTTACTAGATACTTGGAAAGAGTTGAACAAGTGCTAGCTTGTTTACTTAGAAACATATGCTGAACTGATATTAGTAAATGTTTTGAATTTGGTACTTCTTAAAAGCAAAGAGGTAGCCATAATAGGAATGTCTGTTTTGTGGGAAATACTGATACTTTCAGACCCCTAATAGGACGTTTTCTTTTTTTACTGTTCTTTTTGTCAAGTGGAAACTGTGAAAAAAGGAWTGTTTGATGGAAAAGGAAAAGCTTGGAATGTAGTAGCCCTTTCTAAACATGATGTTTTTGTGAAATAGGTGAAAAGCAGCCTATATAATGGGAAAATGTATGTCAAGCCGTGTTCTATTCCAGCTTAACTTTGTAGTTGTCATTTTTTAACATTGTCCCAGAAAAGTTGTTTCACACAAGCATGAGGGTGCTGAGAAGATGCTTCTTGAGTTATCACACTGAATATTTAATTCATTTTATGTCAAAGCATAATATTGTTTGATTATACTTTTTTAGCAGTGATATTGAAAGGGTATGTTTGAAATCCCTGTTATAAATGGAAGGGTTTTTTTCTGGTTTTTTATAGGTAAAAAGAGTTATTGAAAAATTATACGAGAACAAGAAAATTGCAAGTGCTACCCACAACATATATGCATACAGGTGAGAGTGTTTTTTAGTTGGTTTTTTTAGTGTTCTTTGACAAATGAGTGGAGGACATGAGAAAGGAGTTCCTTCCTATTAAATTCTTTGCGTATGAAAGAAATTCCTTGCTCTTAGATCTTTAGGGGAGTAGGTTTCTTATTTGTATGGTAAATGTTCTRGGTGTTATTTTGAATTTGAGGTCAAGAAAGTAGAACATACAGTAGGAAATAAGAGAGTGAAGCAGCATTAGGAACAGAAAAAAAAGGTGGATTTGAACATGTRTTGGTATACTTTGTGTAATATGTCTGAGCATGGMAATGCTACAYCCTCCTGAACTAAATGTGTTTTCACTTGGATGAAGTAACTTCTTTTTCCCCCCAACCTTATATTTTGAAATAGCTGAAAATGTTCAGTTGAAATAAGAGTCGAATCAGAAAGCCTGATGCAGACATCTGGCATATGAAGTTTCAGCTGAAATACGAGAAACTTCAGGGATTATGAGAAACAGGTAAAAATGAGTTTGGCAGTCATTTGCCTCTGGCAACTTTTGTGAACATAGCTTATGTGAAATGAATTGGTCTCAGTCCAGATAATGGTGTAGGTTTTCTCGGGACTGTAAGTGACATTAAAAGTGAACCTTTTCATTACTGGAGGAACCAGTCATCTGAAAAAACATGTACAGATGCTGATCCATTCATTCCCATCCTTGTGTGATCCTAATGAAACATGAAATAAGAGCAAGTGAAACCTTATTTTACCAAAAAATAAAAGCTTGTATCTAAAGTAATAAGTTTCTGTAAAGAGGGCATTTCTGTTCTTACAGATGATGTATGATTTGCTTCTTTCACTCATATTATCCAAATCCAATTTATTAAAAATTAATAGGAGCAAGCACATACTTACTGGGTCCTCTTTGTTGTCTAATACTAGAAGCCTCTTTTTCATTGTGTCATCTGTGACTTAAGTTCAGAAGGTAGGAAATAAATTGGTAATGAGCAGTAGACCTCTGAGCATTACTTCTGGAAAATTGGACCTGGGTAGGTGTCCTTTTTATGAAACAATACATTCAAAAGTTTACTGCAGTGCCCCCTGAAAAAGGAGAGGACATGGGGAATCCAAAATCAAATTTCAGTAATAGTTTCGTGTTGCTGTTGAAATACAGACCTAAATAATTATTCATAATGTTTTTGTCCAAGTTCTTCCAACTTCTAGGTTTTTTACCATAATTTGAATCTGTATCTGATAGACTTGATTTCAGCTGGATGTAATTATTAGGCTGAAAACCTGTTTTTTTTTTCTGATAAAGGACTTTAAAATGGTAATAACTCTGAAGTTAACTAAAGTAGCTGAAGCAGTAAAGTCTGTGTAAAATCTTCTCAAAACTTGTTCTTCTGTACAGATAAATATTTGTGGTTTACCCTGTGCTTCATCCTGTTCTCATGTAAATGTCCTTATAGAGAATTGATACACATGTGTATGAAAGATCTCAGGGACTTTATTATCGTGTAGAAATGTTAATTGATTGACATTTTGTTAATCTAGTTTATGCTATTTTGTTTTTCTCCTAAAGAATATACTGTGAAGATAAGCAGACATTCCTACAGGATTGTGAAGATGATGGAGAGACAGCAGCGGGTGGACGTCTTCTTCATCTTATGCAGGTTGTAGAAATTAATCTTTGACTTCTGGAAATCTTAAATTTAAATTTAAAAATTTGTACAATGTAAATAAACTTGTAGAAGATTATTTTAATTTTTGCTCTGCTAGCAGCCAGAGAGATGATTGCTTTCTCAAGGTGAAAGGAGTAACCTAGATGGCAGCACTTTCAAGTCTCAGATCATAGAAACAACTGATGTTTCATAGGTGGCAGTAATAGATTGAATGGGTTAAAAGATCACTAAGTTTTAATTCCTATGCTTCCTGTGTGGTGTAAGGTACACAGAAAATGGGGACTGGGAGGAGATGACTGTCAAAATGTGGCAGCTGCCCTGAGCACAGCCTCTTGTGGCTTCCTTGAGTAGATGTAATGAAAAGACACCTGTATATGAACTTGCAGAGTAGAACTAAAAATACCAAAGGTAGTAGGAATGAAGGAGTTAAGTTGTTTTGCTCATTTATTTTGTTTTGTTGTGTTGTTTCCCGTTCTGGGTCCTTAGCGCTCATACGCACATATATATTTTAGTCTTCAAGTGTTGAAATAATATTTGGCAAAGGTGCAATTAAATGTGAGTTGAGATTGATAAATTTTGGTTCATGATGCAAGCCTTAGTAAAATCGTAATTAATATGGCAAAACTACAGGGGACAGCTGAATACATCTTAATGCTGTGCCCAAGTGAGTTAGCTGTGTGCRGACAAAATACTTTCTTTAATTTTTATATTGCTGTCCCCTTCACAACAGGAGTTTTCTCTTTCTGTCCTTTTCTTGYTTGAATAATCTGTTGCTTAATGTGTTGCACTCTTATTCCTGGAGGCTTTTTTCCTCTCTCAGGCTTGCTTTTTTTTTTTCCTGAAAAACAATATAATTGATGGAAACATTTTGACATTATAATTTTGAACTTTTTCAAACTTCCTAAATAACTCAAGCCAGACTTGGGAAGGTAAAATTAATAAACAAATTTAGATTATGTAAAATACACAAGTATATGTTCTAAGTGTGAAAACATTGCTGTTATGAAAATAATGTAAAGAAACAACTTGGCAGTTACTGTACCTTAGTTTGTTCTGTGCTTATCAGCTTTTTCTCAGCATATTGTTACGTAGTTTTGAAAGCTGTCTAGACACTTAATATTTCATGCAAATGCAGTTTAGAAGATGTCATGAAGTATCCCCTTTCAAATGTGCATGTGTGTAAATTATGTGGATCATCTTTATCTGTGGTCCTGGTTATTGGGAATATTTCTGTTTTGGAAGAATAATTAAGATAGGGATYAGAAAAGTTCAATTTTCTGCTGTAGGAAAAGATTCAAGTAGTTTATAGGCTGGTTTCTAGGTGTTCATGGATCTTATGTTATTTTTGTTTTGAGCTCTTACGGCATATGGGTATAAAAATTGGGTGATTTAAAACAGTTGTTGTTGCTGAACGTATAGTTCTTTTTTGTTGGGATTTTTTTTTCCCCAATAAAAATGAATCTTGTTTCAGATAAGCCCAGTATTTCAACTGGCACATCCTGCTTACAAGAAACATTGTGTTTAGTGTCAGCAGTTGTTATGCATAGACTTTATGGCTAATTTGTAAGAGTAGAAAATGCCTGTAACAGAACATGCCTTAATCCCTTCTTTTTTTGTTTTTTAATAATCCTTTTGATTTTAAAATTCTAAGAATATTTCTCTTTTCTCAGATAATGATAGACTCTTCTAATACCGTTGTTTGAATTAGTCAGATATTTGTTTTTTCCTCCTTAACAGAGATTATTAATGGTTGTTAACATGTGCATGCTAACAGTACTGAGCTTATGGCATTTTATGTATAATGCTTGTGCCCTGGCTGTTATTAGCCTCATCCACCAACGCTTCCAAAAATGTGAATAGAATCTTAGTGAGAGTAAGTAATTGATCATATCAAAGAATAAGAAATGTAACTCAGTAATTTTTTAAAATACAAGATAATAGACCTTTCTTATGTTTCACATTGATGTCAACAGTGGACCGGGTTCAATTAAAAGATGACAACTTTTATTSCTTTCTTTTATTCACAGATTTTGAATGTCCACAACGTGTTAGTTGTGGTGTCCCGCTGGTATGGAGGCATTCTCTTGGGACCAGATCGTTTCAAACACATAAACAATTGTGCAAGAAATGTACTGGTGGAATATGACTATGTGCCAGCAATGGTACGTTTCTGCTCTTCAGAGGGAAGGCATTTGCTTATGAACTTGTGTGAATTTTCAGTCACATGATGACAGAAGGGAAGTAATACAACCTGTGTGAATGGATAAATATTATACAAGTCAAARTTTTCATAAATCCCAGTGAAATATGAGCATTTTTCATATTAAAAATAATTCTCATGGGTGACCTTGGGAGAATACTTGTTTACAAGAATATTTTTTACATTTTGAAATGCTTGTTTTTCATTTCAGGAAGAATCATCTAGACAGTCTGGAAAGAGCAAAAAGATAAGGAAGGACAACAAGAAGAGAACAGAACACTAATTTATTTTTAAAAAATCTTTAAGAGAATATTTTGCACATATTTATACAAAGAAAACCTGKACCTTGTTGCCTTATCTGATAGAATGGACATGTTGTGTTCAGAAGAGAATTTAGTAAAGCCATAGATATATTTTTATCTTGTTTTGTGATTTCTTCTGCTGTTCTGAAGTAGAGCTTAGACACAAGTTTTCTGTTTCTTACACATTTGAGCTCCTTGTTAGGAGCACAGTGCATCRTCTGGAACCACTACTCCATCCTACCCCTTCCCACCAAAAAACAGTTGACTAATTGAAAAYGTAGATTTCTCATCTTCTCCATTCCTGGTTTTGAATACCTGTCTTGTATTATTAATTGAGTTCTTTAGTTTGTTGTATTGAGAATAGGACTAGAGTCATTCATACACCAGGTCGTTTACAAAGTTTTTGATACTCTTTTGTGAAAGGAAGGCGTGGGGTCAAGTTCTGTGTTTGGAGTGCCTGATCCTGCCTGTGCAATTCCTGATCAAAATAGATAGGGCCAGCTTGGTGAACATGGGCAGTGAGCTAAGAAATGTGATCAAACTGCTCAGAATTTTTTCGAGCATTTTTCTCTGATGGTTGGCACTCCAGGAGCCTGTTGAAAAGATGAGAATTTAGTGTTGCATAATTAAAGGAACCAGTGAAAGAGGCCATACACATCATCCACTCAGTAAGCAAAGTGAATTCCCCCGTCCTTTAAAATGTCTGGAAATGACCCATCAGAGTGGTAATGCATATGTATTTTCACATAATTTCTTTCATAGAAAGTGTGAAGTGCTGTCTGTCTTGCAGACACTTTTGGTTAGAGAAGTTTCATTCTCTTCCTATTTTTGTTTGCAAGTATTTCCYAAGTTTAAACTTCCTTTATTCTAAGAGGATCCCACAGGGGAAAAAGATTACAAAAATGTCTGCCAACAACTCTTTTAATTCTGCTAAGACATTATTTTTAATGTTAAACTGAAGCAGCAGTTTTAACCATTTTTGTAATCAAAAACTGTAAGTTTTTTTAAGACATACTGCCTACTTGTGGCAGAATTTGAAATTTCATTATCTGGCAAAATGAAAAAGGGATTGTAGAATTAATTTATATCTAAAGTACAGTTGCCTGTCACAAAAATATGTCAAGAAGAGTCAAACATGATCATTAGCCACATAAGGAAAACATGGATTTTTGCTTTTATTTTGTCTTTTTTGGCTACTCTTACCTTTTATTTTACTGTTTTTTCCTTGTTATTCTTAAAATGAATGGGCAGTATAGCTGAAAACATGTTAGCCTTTTGGTGTGTTCATCTGTGCTATGTGTTTATTGCCTAGCATGTCTGTTTCAGTAAAAAAATAAAGTTTAGTAGCTACTTCTATATTTTCCTAGCTAGATGTGATCTAGACTGATTTAATCATAGTCATAGCCACACACACAAAAAAAATCTCTAAAAGCTCATAAAGTGGGTGTCCTAACAGACTTCATGTGGGTAGATGCCTTGTGACACACAGACTTTCCAAGCATGGTGGAAGAGTTGGATATTTAAGATTTCAAGAAATCAAGCTAGATCTAAGATCCAGTAAGAAATTTTGAGGGAGAAGGAATAAAATTGGTAGCTATATACTTCTGGAAAGCACTCCAATATTTAAGCCATGTGGCAAGGTCAGCTGGTTCTCATGAGAAACAGTGAAACTGCTGAATTTCCTSTTGGGGCTTCAGTATGGCTGACACAAGAAAGGCTACTGGTATTAGTAATTGTGCCATATTGTGTTTTCTGCAGTACCTGGACATGAAATAAAGCTTAAACCAGTAATGGACGTACATGCTGTGAAGATATTTGTATGGATAATAAAGTTTTGCATTTTTGTACTGCTGCCATTCAAACATTTAGTAGAAGCACTTGGCAAATGCTAATTAATTTGTTCCCACATCAGAGGCAAAAGCATGACAGCCAACGTTTTTCAGATTTAAGTATCTAAAATTAGACACCAAAGTGTTTTTAAAATSCATAATAAAAATGATTGAATTTTTACAACTGTAGAATACTCACAGCTCTCTGCAAGTGGCTCCATTACTCATGCAAAATGTAAGCATTTGTGGAAGACAATTTTTCACACCAGTGTGAAAGAAAAGCCTCATCCTGTTAAAGTTAATTACCAAGCTCTCATTCTCATTCAGGGAGTCCGTATTTAGTTCCATGSTTCTGGGGCTACAGCAGCTGATGCWGTGTCACTGAGGCTGCTGGTAATATTTTTKAAACTGATTTTGGTGAGAGTTTTGAACTGATCTCTGAGAGTTGGACCATTACAGGTTAACTGCTCTGGTAAGTAATTATATGAATGGTTATTTACATCGTATTAGTTTTCAGCCCCAGAATCCACAAAAAGCAGAACAGCAACAGAAGARCAAAGTTGACCATGCATTTGATCAGCAAAAAAATTTAATACTGTAGAGAGAGAGACCACAGTCTTGCTGAATTGCAACAATGTCAGATAAACAAGGATGAAATCATAGTTTAAATTCTCAATAAAATACATATACACAGGATTAAGAAAAAAAATTTAGAAAATGTTGTATGTAGTGCTAGCAGGCAAAACACATCAGGAARGGAGGGGGGAAAGCAAGAGGGAACCTCAAATCAGCCCTCCTAACCTCCATAGATAAGAATCAGGTTGCTTARAGAAGAACTTGCATTTTAAAATATGAGCTTGAAAAAGCCACATATTTCTTAACCAGAACTCTGCTAGAGTTCTACATGCTATAAAAATTTCTAAGATAACTAGATTTATCTAGCATCAAAAGCTTTTAATTTTTTTTCCCTCCTGAGATAGCTTTTTTTTTAATTTTTTTTTTTATTTTTGACCCATCCTATTTTAAACTCCTTATGCATCTCAACCTTTTGGATAACTCTGCCAGATACAACTTTCTACCTGGACTGAMCTGACGTGGGTACCCAACATGCACAACAGCACTGCCCAAACTCCGCACGCGGCTGCAGCGCGTAACCACACTTGGCCCACGCAGTCRGCGAGCTCCGAGTTCTCCCTGGGYGTCTTGGTGCTGCTGGCTTTCCTCATGGTGCTGCTGTCTCTGGTGACCATCCTTGGGAACATCCTGGTGATCCTTGCCTTCATTCTGGACAGAAACCTCAGGCATCCGAGCAACTACTTCTTTCTGAATCTTGCAGTTTCTGACTTTGCAGTGGGTAAGTCAACAGCTATGAAGCGATGTGCTAATTGTGTTGTAGGACTCTTAGGAGCAGCAATGGTGTTTATTTTCTGTGTGTTCTCTTCAGAGAGAACCATTTCCCAGCTGTGTCTAGGGAAAGGATAAGGAATACGGCATAAAGTGTTTTAGCCGCCTTGGATTTTCCAGAAAAAAAAGAAGGATGCTTTGTTAGGTAAACAGGTAATGTTTAACGTTATTTCTTCAGGATAAAATACTACTGTGTGTGAATTTTATGGAATAACAAAGAATGGGAATTGTTTGTGAAGAGTTTTGGCTGAGGTCTAGTTAGTCCAAATACAGCCTATATTGTCTGACCAAGCTTGCGTACATGGTCGATATCTTCTATTTCAATCTGCTATCATACAATACAGATTGTCACCTGAAGTTTTGACTAAATAGCAATGAATAGTATTTTTAACATTTTGACATGCTCTATCTAGAGTAATACCTTTAGAATATGTGAATAGGTAAATAAAGATTACAAGCCAAGCAGTTTCTAAGATGTTTGATGTTACATTCATATTTACACATAGGTACACATTTAGTTTTCGAACTTGCGCTGAGAAAAAGTACAGTTGAAACACAAGTGTRATGCTCAGTGGGAGACTGATGTATTACAATATTCTGTGAAGTTTTGGATGTGTCTGCTGAAAGTCTTGTTTTAATTACTGAGTGTGTAGATGGATGGTTTTGAATAGTTTTGTCTGTTTCACGAAATCTATATTCTGACTTGTCATATCACAACAAAGTATTTTTAAACGCTTCTTTTCACCTACACATTTAAGAAATATMCTCGAAGATCAGAAGCAACTTTTCTTAAAATTTTTTGCTAGTGYCAGAAGTTCTTTCAGGSGTACAGCTTCTAATAGTCCTGTCCTTGTGATGTCCAAATCTCCTATAATGTTTTGACACCTTCCTCCATATGCTTGATGCCTTCTTCCAACTTATGTCTGCTTTGTTGTGCTGCAGAGCTCTTGCTGCTTGCTGTCCAGTTACAGTACACAGGCAAAAAATACAGCTGTGAGCTGAAAACCAATGGACAAAGTGGTGTTCTGTCATCTGGCTSAAAATCTAGCACCATAYTGAACAAATACCAGAATSTAGYTRAGAARTATGAWGTAAATAATGTTCTCTGTCAAAGAAGGAAGTAATGCTTATTTGGCATTACCTAATTTCCATRAATTTTTGTTTCATTAAATTATATTTACCTGAATGTCTAGTTTTTAATTATAAATTTGGTTTAAAGCTTTGCTTTTGCCTTAATTTGATTTTAGAGTCAAACCGATTTGTATTTTTGTAGCTACGTAATTTAGATTCATGRTATGCCTAAATTATCCTTACTTTCTGCTTGATCTGAATTGCTAAAAATTTGCAGTCATCTGCTTATTCTTTTAACGTATCATATCTATCTCATTTTGACATTCAGCAACTTTTGCTTTGTCTCTGTTCTTCTGGACCTATAGCAGGATTTGAACAGAGATCTCTTGATTCTTAGTAGAGGGAGAACAACAGGAACCATAAGATTTTTATGGAAATGGAAACTCTCAAGATACTCTTCAGTACTTCTTACAGGGGTACACACTATTATGTAGTAAATCTAAAGTTGAAACCACGGCTTTTTCCTTATGTGAATGATAAATCTATAATGTTTTGCTCAAAAGACCAAGCACCAGTTGCTCTGTAAAGACGGTGATTCCATTTCATTGCAGTATCATTGCTGTTCACTGAATTTCTGCATCCCAGCTGAAAGTGCACCGTCACCTCTTTAGCCTCCCAAGGCTGTGTTGTGACTCTYTGTAGAATAACCACCTCAAAATCCATTAAAATTGGGTCATACTGACACTTTCACAACATTTGGATTTAGCAGCCTAAGTTTAGATAGCCATGGGAGTGGGTGGGTCACTCGTGTGTTCCCACAGCCTGGTGAGTTCCCGTAGATAATATTCTATCAACTCACCACTGAAAAGTGGTTATTATCAAGGTTTATGATGAGAAGAAATGTTAGGCTGGGTGTATTTAATTAACTGTGCAGTTCCTGTCAGCTTTTCAATCATAATCTCAAAAATTAGTCTGAAACTCATATTTCTATAGGAAGTYACTTCTGAAACACTTTCAGACACATATCATGCTTCTGAGAAGATACAAGCATGACAATTGGATAATTTGTTGTAGAAAACAGTGAATTACATTGGGGGAAAGATGTTTTTGTTTGTTTTAATTTCAGCAGATAATACAGAACACAAGTGTTTACTTCAGCAGGTAAAGCAGCCAACCGCTCCTTCCTTTAGCAGGTGATTTTAGTTGGAGAAGTAACAGTGATAATAATAAACACAATATGCCTTTCAGAGAGGTGCTAATAAGAAGGTTACTAGTATCTAATTTGTAGTAAATGTTCTTTGGTTGCAGGATAATACAAAGCCTTCCATGTAGCAATTCCAGACAATATTGATCATACTGCAGACATGTTTCTCTGCTCTCATGCAGCACAATGCTGACTGACGTGTGCATTTGATTTCTTTTCATAGGTGTGTTCTGTATGCCCTTGTACATCCCTTATGCCCTGACAGGGACATGGCACTTGGGAAGAAGCCTGTGCAAGATCTGGCTTGTTGTGGACTATCTCGTGTGCACAGCTTCAGTGTTCAACATCGTCCTTATCAGCTATGACCGCTTCCTGTCAGTTACAAAAGCTGTAAGAATAACATTTCTACTTATTGCTTTATATATTTTGAGATTTCGATAAAACCCAGAATGTTTCACAACTAACACCTCAAGCTAAATGGTGCTCTGTCATTGGTGACACTTTTTAATGGGGAAACGATGATGCTTCAACAGGACTTAGAGACAGGACATKGCCTTGCTGATGATGTCAATGTAAYCTTCCTGTCATCTGCACTAGAGATTATTCAATTACACTACACAGGAGATGGGAAGGTCAGTGTGGGAAAGGGACAGCAGGCATGTGGACAACTTGGGCTTTGGCCATTAGAAGTGGTGGTGGTGAAAACCAGCTTGAGTCAAGGATGTGCTTAGGCTTGGATAAATTTTGGAAGAAGAGGGTTTGGAAAGACGTGTGATGGACTAAGTGAAGATCAGATGAGGATCTGAATTACCGCAGGGGGTGACTGACATGTGCTAGCAACAAGCAGTTGAGTAGAACATGACCCCTTAAAGCAAAAAGAAGAGTGAATCAAAATATGTGGAGAGGCAAGATATGTGTCTTGAGTGTTCTCATTCTTCTGTTTCAGAAGATATCCAAGGAATCAAGTAATAAATATTATCATTCACCATTTCTAAGCTCTACTTGGTATTTGGTTGTAGAACACATAGAATGACTTGGATTGGAAGAGACCTTAAAGATCATCTGGTTCCAAAGCCCTGCCATGAACAAGGACAACTTTCATTAGACCAGATTGTTCAGAGCCCCATCCAACCTGGCRTTGATCTCTGYCAGGAATGGGGCATCCACAGCTTCTTTAGATWACCTGTTCCAGCYTCACCACCCTTACAGTAAAGAATTTCTTCCTAATTTCTGATTGAARCCTACTCTCTTTCAGTTTAAYGCCATTGCCCCTTGSCCTATCTCTASTWGTSCTTCAGGTCCTGGAAGGCTGCAGTCAGGTCACCCCAAAGCCTTCTCCAGGCTGATGAGTCTGCTTGCTTCAATGGCATAGGTTGTATTAGATTGGGAGATTATCAGCACTTCTTATTTGTGAAGTGCTGATATGATGCCTACTCCCTCTTCTTCCCCAGTGGTGTGGTTTCACAGTTGGTTTTTGCTGGTTTGTTGTTCAGAGTTTGTTTTTTTTTAAGCTGAGTACTTAAGTAAAGTATAAAAATTTCTGTATTTAAAACATCATTGAAGTTGCAGAGCTCAGAATGTAGAAAATGTAAATTAAATGTAGCCCCTGTAACCCAGCTGAGATCCATGTTCTTGTGCAATTGCTGATGGTCTTCATTACATGATCACATTCTGGTTTTCTTCTTTAGGTTATTAGGAAGGAGTGAGTCCAGTGATGTGTAACCTAGGGTGAAAAGACAAAGAAAAGACACCATGCTTCCTCATAGACTTGGGATCCACCTCTGCCTTGGCTGCAAATCTAGCCTRTGGCCAGGGTCTAGTCACTCCAGAYTTAATAGTCCATTAAACTCTGCTCAGCTTTCTGTTTTCTGCCTCTAAATTGAACTGGTTGTGGCCTTGCAAATTCTTATTACAGACCTGGAGCTGTGCACAGAGCTAATATGGTGTTTTAAGGTGTAGAGGAGTCTGAATCTTCAGGCTACAGTCATTTAAAACAGATAGCCCAAACCAATGTGAATAACCCTGCATTACTGCTCTGATAATTGCTGGYGTGATAGGGACAGTGCCCTYTGTGTGGTGKGTGGCTGTGAAGGTGCCATTCATTRGTATTTGTGKAGCATGCAAGTGCTSTGCTSATGGGCAGCATWGAAAGCTGATGAGRAAGAGAGCAGTTCTGAGGAAAGCCTGAGGTGTCAAATATTGAACAATATAGAGGAGATAAAATTGTCCAGCTTTTCATTAGCTTACCTTACTGTGCTATGAAACATGCAGGGAACCAAGAGTATGTGTTGTACTTACTGGCTGGGCTGCTACAGGGTGGACTTAGCTCTTGCATTTCCTAACTTTGAATGACATTATTGTAATTGTTAACATGCTGTCTGGGTAGACCTAAAAGCATCAAGATTTTCAGTAATGGAATGGGCTGTTTACGAGGTAAAGTGAATGTTAAAATAGAGTGTTTCAATAAAGCAAGGGATGTTATAGTGTATGTCTGGGATAGATTTTTCTGCTGTGGCAAGAGGAAAGAGTATGAAAAATTACATTGTCTGGTGTTTGCAGTCTCATGTGGCAGCCTGTCTAATATGGAAGGCTTCTACTTTTGCTGTGCATGTAGGATGCTTTCACTCTCGGCTGAGCCTGGGTTGCTGAATAATAAACCTATTCCTTATCAGTTCTTTATTGCTATTTCACTGAGTGGTGGAAACAAGCGCTGTCTTTTCATACCTGGAAGCCAAATGATAGTTTAGCCATCATAATTTCTGCTCCTCTTCTATCCCCAGTATTATAATAAATCACAGAGCTACAGTGTATGGAGAACAAGATAAGCAATGTTTCAGAAYCTTAAATAGTGAAGATGTTCTAGGCTTCTTCTAGATGTTCTGTTTCTGGGGAAATACAGAACGAATGTTACCTTTGGCTTGATTATGTAGATTTTTTATGTAGACATGTATTATGTAGATTTATGTAGACATAATTTTCCTGAAATGTTGTCTGAATATGTGACATGTCCTTTTCCCTCGCAGSTGTCGTACAGAGCCCAGCAGGGAATAATGTCCAGCCCCGCCATCAAGATGGTGGCCATCTGGGTCTTTGCCTTCCTCCTCTACTGCCCAGCCATCCTGTTTTGGGAGCACGTGGCYGGACACAGYGTGGTAGCRGCWGATCAGTGCTACGCYGAGTTYTTGCACAACTGGTACTTCCTCCTGTGTGCATCYGCCCTGGAGTTCTTTGTGCCGCTGCTCTTGGTGACCTATTTCAACATGCACATCTTCCACAACATCCAGCGGCGCCAGCGGCGTGGCAGCACACGGGACTGTGAGCCTGCCAGGGCCAGCAGCCTGTCCTGGAGGTTCTGTGGCTTGCCAAGGCCAGGGGCATCATCTCCTTCGTCGGAAGCAGAGGACAGTGTTTCATCCCTGACGAGGTCATGGAGACCAGCAGTGATGGCGAATGGTCCATCTCGAACAGAAATCAGTTCTRCAGCTCTCAAAAGGAACTTTTCTGCTTCTTTCTGTTCAAGGACTGGGTCAAAACTGCAGCGGGACAAGAAGATAGCRAAGTCTCTGGCCAYAATTGTATGTGTGTTTGCCATTTGCTGGGCCCCATACTCTTTACTGATGATTATTCGTGGGGTCTGCCAAGGAAAATGCATCCCTAACCCCTTGTATGAAGCAACCTTTTGGCTTTTGTGGATCAATTCCTCTCTGAATCCATTTCTTTACCCTCTTTGTCATATGAGGTTTAGAATGGCTTTTCTGAAAATATTATGTCCCAAACGGTTTGCAACATTGAGATCTGGTAACACGCCTTCTTTTTAGAAAGGTCAAATAAATGTTTTACAGATAAAGTTCCTCTGTTATTTAGTGACATCTTTTCATATGTATCTTGAGCATAAACAGAGGAAAAAGAAATTTGTTTACTAATGACGTTGGGTGAAGGTGCAGCAGTTATGTATTTGCCCTGATATTGCTAATTTTCAAGATCTTGTTTTGGTTTTGCTGGTATGATGCCAGGYTAGTTACCATCTAGTGCATTTAAAAGAATAACAAGTTTTGCTGGATATCTTCTTTGGTTTGTGGGTGTGAGATACATTTTTTTCCTTCTTTTTTTTCTTTTTCCTTTGTTTAATACATAGAACTGGCACTGTGGAAAAGCTCTTCTATCACTCTCTCTGTAAGGATTCACTGGAGGGAGATACCTGCTCATGGATGTCTTGAAAAATTTTATGTCCTATTTGTGAACCTAAAGATCAGTGAAGAGGCAATTCTGCTACATTTTTGAAAGGTTGTAGAAATACTCACAGAAGCAGTATATTTTCATTCTATAAACTATTATCCAGACCAAAGAGTGCCCTGTACTTGTTATAATCCCCACAGTGAGCAATATGCAAGTGAATGGGCTGCCTAATCTGCCAGATCTGTCTTTTTCAAATTTTAATGTAGTTCATACCTGGCATTGCAGGACACCGTACCTGTAAGTTAGTAATCCCGAATGATTTTCAGAGAATGAAGTTTTCCATGGTAAGAGAATTTTGAGATGGGTTATCAAAATTGTCACAGACAGAAATGGTTGTTAGTCCTTTCACTGTTTTTTTCCCCTGAAAATGGCTGCCTCTTTGGTCAAGCTTAAATGTTATTTAGTGCCAGATCTGTGCACTATGTGATTGCCTGAAAGATAGGCCAGGCTTGGGCACATGATCACATTCCTGTTGAATTAGCAGAGCAAGCAAGGCTAAGTTCATACTGGATTTATGGTTTTGGCTGGCTGTGCGAGAATAGACAATAGCCCCTCTGGTGTAAAGCTTTGCAAGTGCAAAGATATTCCATCAAAATGTCTGGAACAAATTTGATCTGACAGAGTGATTTTTATACTAGATCAGTTCTTTGTGTCCTGTTACTGTGACATTACATGGATTTTCTCTGCCACAGAATAAGTATCAAACTGGATTTTTTTCTATCAGGGAATAAGGGGTGTATTCACTGCTTGAGAATGGGATTTACAGAGGTCTGGAAGCTGACACAGAGATGTCTTAACCAACTTTTAACAAACAAAGCAGTTGAAGGTGCAATGCTGAAAGGAGTGTGTAGATGTATTGGAGAAGGCAATGGATTTGTTTACAACCCATTCCATGTGCCAAACTTTCTTACCATGTGTYGACTGTTGCAAATCACCCAGAAGGCTTTCATGGATGGGTAAGTGAGAGTCACTGGCTACATCTTTTTTTCTCTCTTTTTATGTAATTTTATTCCTCTTTGGTTGTAAATATAAAAAGATACAAAATGTGGAAAGAGAARTCTGATGCACAGGACAACGAAGAGCAGTAGTCAATTTAAATAGTTTTTAATCTAATTTGAAATTGGCTATAGAAGTGTTGCCATAACAGAGTACTCCTTTGCAAACACAATTCAAATGCATGGAAGCAGCTTAATTGTGGCACAAAAGCTGATGGCTTTGAGGAGCTAGAATGTCTTTCTGTTCAGAGGTCTGGAACTGAATGTTTCTCTGGCCAGTTTTCACACTGGTGGAAAATTATCTTTCACCATTCATTCTCGCTATGCATCCTTGCCTCATATGGATTGTGTTGTGGATTGCGAGCCTGATAGCTAAGAGGGATGCAGCTTCAGGAGGAAGGCATGGATTCAGCACAGATGTTTTTACTGTCATGAGCTGTGATGCTGSCATAGATTTTGTGGGGTTTGTTTTCTGTGATGCTTAGAAAATCTGAATGCACACACAGAGTTAAAACATTTATAGAATAGCTGGTGTACTAAACATCTCTTAAACAGAGAAACTCAAGATAGGCCCAAGATAGAAATATGCTTGAGTTATCTGCTTTTTTATTCCTGTGCTTTTGGTGGAAAAATTCAGTTTACCTTTTGTGCCTAAAGAATGTCCTTCTGGAAATAGAATGAAAAAAAGCCCTACAAAATTATTAACTAGATAAACTGAGTCCACATTTTRCAGTGCTGGAAAACTAGTTTGTCAGGCAGCATTATCTGCAGCAAATTTGAAACAACAGAGCRTGGTGAAGCCACTAGAGATCAGTGTTTTTTAGTTTCTGTATTATACACACAGTGTTCTCACCACTGTTTCCTCATGCCACTCCTGTCTATTAGAAAAATGTGTTATATTTTTCTAATTGCTGAAAATTTTGCTTAGTGCTCTCAGGGTAAGTCAAGCACTGGGTTGCTGTGCCCACAGCTTTAATGTGTCTTGGTCAAGGTGGCATCGTAAATCTTCTCTCTTGTAAATAGTTTTTTAGGATTATGGTAAGATACTCAGCATTCAGTCGTATGCCCTGACTCAAATGGATTTTGCTTTCCAAAGGGTTTTCTAACCCATGTCTCTCTATCTGTCACTCGTCCATTTCAACATTTCATATCCTTGAATTTTTTCCGTCTTTGCAGAAGTTCAATAGGCATTGTAAATACATGTTGACAGCAGGCATATRATTTTGTGGGCTTCAACTCAAACCACACCAGTGTTTTTATCACCTGGCCTCTCAGGTTTTAAAAAACCCCGGCAAATAAAACACACATGTTGGAAGAAATTGTGTTATCTTTTGTTTGTTTATTTCTGGAACAAACATGAAACCCTAGTGATTATCTTTATATCTGGATCCTTTATTTTCYGAAGGAAGTACCACATAGATTTTTTTCCCTCAGCTCTATGAAGGACTATAATTAAAACATTAACATTTGATTTATTCCCTGATTTTAAAAGAAAATTACTGCTTTCCCCTTGTCCACTAATCTAGTTTCAAAGAATCTTGTTAAAGAAGACAACAAAGTTGCTCAGGCATGATTTAACCTTGGCAAGTCCATGGTGATTGTTCCCAGTCACATTTTCCTCTYCCAGGTCCTCAGAAATACCTGCCAAGAGGACCCACTCCATTATTTCCCCAAGGACTGAAGAGRATCTGACCTGTTGTCCTTGTGCAGCATTTGAAGATGGTTGCAACATTTGCCTTTCTTCCATTGTTGGGAATCTCCCTTCATCATCATGACCATTCTAAGAGTGTAGAAAAAGCCTAGCAAAGCTTAGTAAAGATGGTAGCTGGTTCTTTTGATGGCCTTGAGTACAACCCAGTGTCAAGTCCCTTCAAGTAATCCTGCTTTACTCTCACCTGATCCTGACAGGTCTCATCCTTGAACTCATTCACTGAGCATGGAGGAAAGGGCAGACACAGTGAGGAATGAATCAAAGAAACCTCTGGGTACCTCAGCCTCATTTGCACCTACTGTCGCTGGAACACTGGTCCAATTGAGCAAAGCACCTACATTTTTTTTTTATTTAGCATTTTGCTGTTATGGTGGTCGTTGAAGTTACCACGCTGCCTCTTTGCATTGCAGTCTCCCTGGTAGCCTCTGTCCTGATACATCTGCTTTCTTGAGAACTGGSATAGGATGCTCTTTTGTATGAGGCTGCTGYCCCTGAGCTCCTTTGCAGCTTCCGTGAGTCCCTTTGCTTTCCTTCCATGGGATCCCCACCAYCACATTCCTAAATTTAAGTCTGCTCACCTGAAGTCCATGGTCTGCATTGCTACTCTCCTTCCTTGCCCACTTTAGGATCTTGAATTCTACTACCTCATGATCACTGCAGGCAGGTCTGGCATTGATAACACATCCCTAAACAGCCCCTCTTGACCGGTGAGCAGCTGATCCAGCCACGCATTACCCCCACKGGCCCATGCAGGACTTGCACCTGGAAGTTCCCCTGACAGCCTCCAGTAATTTTTGCACTGCTTGTACCTGCTGCGCTGTACTTCCAGCAGATGCCATGAACACYAAAGTTCTACACAAAAAGCAGGTCCTTTATCCAGAAACTTCCTTGAGCTGCTGAAGGAAGACTTCATCACTTCCCACACCCTGGGCTCTTCAACGTGCTTTAACCACAATGTCACACGTGTCAAGTGTGGCTTTGTGGCTGCACAGGAAGCTCTAATACCTCCTCTATGCTACCCCGGCTGCTGCTGTGCACACACACCTGAGGCAGCTGTGTCTCTGCCATATTTTGTCATTCCTGATGTATCTTCTGTTTCTGTTGCCCTAGTCTTTTTGCTCTAATGGCTCTTTACAACGTAATTGCCTTTGTTCTTCAATATGTTCCTCAATCAGAGCACTGCATCTTTCCTCCCCACATCTYGMCCAYMCTCTCTTTCCTTGTTTCTTGCCCARCATCRTCCCAAGCATCCAGCATTATGGCTGCAGTTTGAAATGCTGGTCACAAGGTTTGCCATACTGCTGCAGAGCCAGTGAGCACCAGCCACAGCCTGCCAGATTCTGTGCACTCCTACCAAAATAAATGGAATTGAGATGAAGAAGGGATTAGTATTTTTTTTTTCTTCACATCTTCAAGGCCTAAAGGCTTGGTACTTCATGGAGTGACAGCATATCTGGSATTACTTGGGAGGTGCAGGATTAGATGGGCCACACTGTAAAGACCTCCAAAGTCCAAGTATTTGGTTTTCTCTTYCCACAGCTAGGCTTGCTTCTGAATAAGATGAGCTGAAAAGGTACTCGTGRTGCTTCTCCTGCATGTAGCTGCATTATAAAAGCTCTGTAACCAACAACATTAGGAAATACCTGTTATTAACTGTAAAATTTAAAAAGAGGTATAGCAGCAAGTACAAAAGTGGCAATATTTTACTATAATGGGAATAGAATTGTAATAATTTAAATCCTGTTCCCCACTGTGGAGGTGAAAATGAGACATTGCTTTAGCTTCAGCACAATTCAATGTGTAAATTGTTTACACATTGCTAATGTGCAACCTGATTGACTGTGCAAAGAGTTGCTTTCAGACAAGCTTTTTTGACCTCAGTAGATAAGGATCCTGTAAGAAACAGATAATTTACTTTCAAGTATGCGCTTATTGCTGCTTATGAGGTGTTTTTTGTCAGGCCAATAGGTGCATTCGGATCAAGAAACGCTAGAGACTCCAGGTCCTGAAGTCTTGAAGTTTCTTTTTTTTTTTTTTATATTGTGAATCTTTTCTTTTTATGTGGCAGTATTCAACCCAGGCTGTTAATAGACTTGTCTCAACCTTTTGGATAATTCTGCCAGATCCGACTTCCTTCCCAGGCTGACCTGACGTGGGTACCCAACATGCACAACAGCACTGCCCAAACTCCGCACGCGGCTGCAGCGCGTAACCACACTTGGCCCACGCAGTCAGCGAGCTCCGAGTTCTCCCTGGGYGTCTTGGTGCTGCTGGCTTTCCTCATGGTGCTGCTGTCTCTGGTGACCATCCTTGGGAACATCCTGGTGATCCTKGCCTTCATTCTGGACAGAAACCTCAGGCATCCGAGCAACTACTTCTTTCTGAATCTTGCAGTTTCTGACTTTGCAGTGGGTAAGTCAACAGCTATGAAGYGATGTGCTAATTGTGTTGTAGGACTCTTAGGAGCAGCAATGGTGTTTATTTTCTGTGTKTTCTCTTCAGAGGGAACTATTTCCCAGCTGTGTCTAGGGAAAGGATGAGGGATGGTGGAAGCTGTATGAAGAGTTTTAACAGCCTAGTATGTTATGATGAAAAATGCATCCTTTTTCATATAAGTACTTTTAATGTCACTTCAAGAAAAAGGAACAACTATTATTTGTGAATAGTATTTGAAGTAAAGAGGTTGTTTGCTACAGTATATGATTTACCCTCACCTCTCCTGTGAGACTGTTCATCACAAACTTCAGAACATCCTTATATTTGACAGCTATGTGGGATACATCCAGGTAAATTAATTACCTCTTTACGTAGTGCTAATTGTTTATGGATGTATTGCACTAAAGCAAAATACTGTATCACCAGGATGTTTCACTGGCTTCAGCTTAATGCAGGCTACTGATTCAATGGGTTATTTGATACCATCAACTGGTGTCTGTGTCGTCTCTCATCTCTGTTCCTTATTGGTCCCCCCTTCCCATAGTGTCACTTCAGAGCTCCAGAAGAGTTTTTTGCTGGAGTTGCCATGGATCCAGTCCTGGCTGGTGATGCCAAGTGAGGAAAGGAGGGTGTGAATGCCTTGTGCAGCACTCGTCCATGGCTGGAGCCAGGGAAACAGCCCATGCAGCAGAGAAAGCTGGACAAACCCATGGTCCCATGGCAGATGTGCCAGCAAACATCTTGACCTAAGGCTGGCAAGGACGTACTTCAGCACACAAAGGCTTTCTCTTCAGGATGAAGACCAATATGCACTGAGTCCTGAGAAAGGAWATCATAGCCACAGACCTACTGCACTTCTGACTATACCTTCCCCCCAAATGCTGTTCCTTTGTCAGTGCTGTGCAGTGAAGTATATAACTTCAGCCTTTAAGGTTTTCCTTTATTTATGCCATTTATAACATGTGTTGCCTTATTCTGGGGCTCGCCCCATGGGGCAGAAACCAAACAATGCATATGTTGAAGCCTTTTCTTCCCTGCCAAGGCAGACAATTTGCTGGAGCTACTATTTCATTGCTCAGGTCTTCTGCAAAAGTCTGTTTCTCCTCATATCTCACAGTTTTGTCAAGAGAGTTAAATATCTACTTTCTGCATCAGCTCTTTGTGGCTGGTGCCTCATGCATTCTTAAATCAGCCAAGATGAAATGACTGCCATCAGTATTGCATTGGCCTATGTAGACTGTAAATCTAAGATTTTGTCTCTGATATTGGTCAGGAAATACCTTATTTTCTGAAATTGCTGTGGTTTTGGTTTTGTTTTTAAATTATAAGTCTGAAATCTTCCCAGGGATATGACTCATGTCTTTAGCATCCACTAATTAGTAAAAGTAAGAATAGCTTCTAATACCAATGTTTAAAACCTGGAGTTTGCCTCTATATTTATATGTATAGCTAGAAGCATATAATCACTTTTTTATATGAAGCCAAACACTGATCCCATTGAAGTTCATGAGAACAGTAGCTGTCACCAACAACTACAAAAAATGAGTATTTAGTACAAAAGTGATGCTGCTTGTGTTTAAGGTGTGTGTTAAACAAACCATCAGTATTGAAAGTGCTGTGAGCATTTCCCTGTTGATGACAGTCTATCAACTCATTGCCAAGAGTTTGATTGTCAGTGGACCACATCACCCTGGATATATTTAGTAACTTCTAAGATCTTGATGGACATGCCAAGAAAAGAATAATCTGGAGAGTTTAAAAAGGATCTTGAAGCTGCATGTAATTTTCTATTTGTCTCTGGTAGATTAACATTTTCAGGAATGTAGGTAGCATCAGCTATTGCACTACACTTTTGAAAAAATATTAGGGTTAAAATAAAGAAGTTGCTGACTTAAAAATAAAACACAAACRTGATTTTCTTAAATAAGTGCTTCAGTGGAAGGTCGTTTGCACAAAAAACAAATTGAACAAACCAAAAAGTAGTTCTGGAGTTAATCTCAGGTGGAAAACAAGCATGAGATTAAAAAACTCCTTAAAATGGGAGTTTCATACTTCTGCTGTGTCTGCTCTATCTCTGATAGAAGAGATTTCCAAAGACCACAGAGACTATCCAATATATTATCTTTAGCTCACAAATGCTAACCAATCTGACAGAAATAACTGTAAGATACTGTCTGGTAAAATCTGTAGATGTGTTTGGGTGAAAATTCTAATACAGATAGAAGAMTAGAGGAAATACAATGATGAGGTTACCTGTCAGAATGCAGCCACTGTGCATATATGCTGCAGCACTAATTATATACCTTTAGAGAGTCAAAGTTGGTTAGACTTAAGTTGTTTTCCTCAGCACATCTTTCTTTGCTGATTTGCTTTGAGTTTATTCCCAAATATCAGCTTACATAAATCACACTAAGACACAGAAAGTCTTAGGACCATCAGATTTCATGAGAATTTAAGAATTCCTGTATATAAATGATATATTCACCTTCATAGACTTGCTGATTTTTTTTTTACCCAAATGCCAGAAAAATGTGTCTTTCTGCTTCTAGGAGTTTGCAATCCATAGGAACCCCATGGTGTCTTTGTGGTTGCTTTCCACAGGTGTGTTCTGCATGCCTCTCTACATCCCTTATGCCCTGACAGGGAAATGGCACTTGGGAAGAGGCATCTGCAAGCTGTGGCTGGTTATGGACTATCTCCTGTGCACAGCTTCAGTATTTAACATGGTTCTTATCAGCTACGACCGTTTCCTGTCAGTTACAAAAGCTGTAAGTACTCCTTTTATAACTTCTCTGATTTTTTCCTTGGAGGATTATATTCAGTGACTTTTGCCATGTTGATGGGTATAAGCCCAAATTTAATCAAGATAATGCCCTTCAACCATATACTGGCATGTGGAGATTATTAGGTATTTTGCAGCTAGATGGAGTGAATATCCTGCATTGAGCATGATTCAGTGCAAATCCGGTCAAACAGGACTTTYCTCACAATTTCTGCTGCAAGTTGCTGTTGTGCTACTGCCTGAAAAAAAGCAGGCTAGGGGGTAAAAAGGGTAAAGCAGCAGACTGTGGAAAAGGAACAAGGAAAAAGGAAATTCAGAATAAACTGAATTTGGGTTTGGACCTAAAATCAGGCATGCAAAGAACAGACAGTGAAGCTAGGGCAGTGAAATAAAGGACACCAGGGAGGGTGTCTAGACCTGAAATGTGGTCACAAATGATCCTGGAGAAGACTGGAAGCAAGAGCAAACAGGGAGAGAGTGGGACAAGAGGCAGACTGCAATCACTGCCTGTGATATTGGGCAATAAATTTCTCTTGGTGTCTGAWGCAGAACCCCAAACTTAAGACACTTTCTGTTTTCTGCAGAGAATCCTACACACCTGATGTGTCCTTTATGTCTTGGTCCATGCTGGGGGTGGAGGCCAGCATTTCTTACCAGCCACACTGTTAGCTCAAGTGGCAGGGAATGTTGGGRAGAACTAAAAGTTCCAGCTCTTTTTTGTGTATGAAACTGTTAATGTAACATCATGTGAAATATTTTCAGTCTTATTGTTGTTAATTAATTTACTATGACTGCCTTTTAATTAGATTTTATGATTTTATTTTATTCTATTTAAGGATAATATCTTCAGAAACCAAACACCAAAACATTTGACTGGCAACTTTATGCTGGCAAGCCAAAGACTAAGCATTCACAAAGTGCAAAATTCAGAACAYCTGYAYGAATCCAATTAAAACCTATGRACATTTGTATGATATTTCTAGTGACATTAGGTCAAACTTCTGTTATCATTGAACTAAACAAACTTGGGTGAGCTTCAGCTGACCAGCACAGCCACAGCTCTAAATTACCAAGCATCTCATGAGTACCTCTTCTGCTGCTTCCCTTAGTGCCAGAACATGTCTCTGCAAGTCTGAACTTTTTGTTTTTTACCCTCACAGGTGTCATACAGAGCCCAGCAGGGAATAACATCCAACCCTGCCATCAAGATGGTGGCCATCTGGGTCTTTGCCTTCCTCCTCTACTGCCCAGCCATCCTGTTTTGGGAGCACGTGGCCGGACACAGTGTGGTAGCAGCTGATCAGTGCTACGCCGAGTTTTTGCACAACTGGTACTTCCTCCTGTGTGCATCAGCGCTGGAGTTCTTTGTGCCGCTGCTCTTGGTGACCTATTTCAACATGCACATCTTCCACAACATCCAGCGGCGCCAGCGGCGTGGCAGCACACGGGACTGTGAGCCTGCCAGGGGCAGCAGCCTGTCCTGGAGGTTCTGTGGCTTGCCRAGGCCAGGGGCATCATCTCCTCCATCTGAAGCAGAGGATGGTGTTTCTTTTCCCATGAAACCAAAGAAAGAGTCTTTGGTAACTGACTGCTCGTCTCCATCCAGAAAMAATTCTGTTATCCCAGAAAATGACTTTTCTGTTTCCTTCTGTGCAAAGACCAGATCAAAACTGCAGCAGGACAAAAAAAGAGCAAAGTCTCTKGCCATAATTGTATGTGTGTTTGCCATTTGCTGGGCCCCATACTCTTTATTAATGATTATTCGTGGGGCCTGCCAAGGAAAGTGCATCCCTAACTCCTTGTATGAAGCAACCTTTTGGCTTTTGTGGATCAATTCCTCTYTRAAYCCATTTCTYTACCCTCTTTGTCATGTTAAATTTCGAATGGCTTTTCTGAAAATATTATGTCCCAAAAAGTTTRCAACATTGCGATTAAGTTCTTTTTAGAAAGTAAAAGAAAAAGATAGTCCAAGAGGAGCTGGATGAGAGATGTAAGTAGYCACTGTTTGAAATTAGAGTTAGTCTTTTCCAGGAGATTAAACTAGTTGGAAAATCCAAATAAGCTTTCCGTGAAATGTCTTCCTGCAGACAAATGCAAATGCCCAAGGTTTGTATTTTTCCCAGCTACTTTAATTGGCCAATWAAAGGCTGTTGCCTCTGTCTGACTTTGCCTAGTTGTCTATCCACTTTATAATTCTGATTGTTGAAGATGCTGTCTTCAATATAAGCAGTACAGCTTATATTTGTGTTCACATGAGTTAAAAATAGAATAAAGTTGTGTATTTCCCATAGGGTCAATAATATTCTAAAGTTGTTTACACACTGTGTAATGCTTTGTTTGTTTTTCTGCATGAGCCAGGGACATGGCTGACCTCGATGGCTGCCTGTTGTACATATAGTTATGGCTGAGACAGAATGGAGCTGATCTTCTTTCAATACACACTTCCAATACTYTCAAGGGTTATTTAGTTGCGTGGCTCTGGAATTATCAGGCAKGTACCGATAACTTCCTTACTAAATAAAGAGGTGTAACTTTAAAATATAAATATTCTTTTCTCACACAGTTAGGAAGTATAAGCCTAGGAAAWAAATGGATGAATTAAAACTAAAGAAAAGTGAGAAGTATTTGGAGTCCATTTTATCTTCTGGTTTTATTTGATGTATATTCGTATAATATATTAGTATATTTTACATTACAATCTTCTGAATGTTCTCCTTCTAGGCTGAACCATTCAGTTACATGTTTTGCTATACTATATGATAATTTATGCTCTTCTTCTTCTACAAATTACACATGTATTTGGCAATGTAAGAAGTATTGCCTCTCGAATATGAGATGAAAACACTAATATTCAATAGAAATTACTCTGAAGACCTGTATTTTGCATTTGTTACAGGATCTTGGCCAATGAATTTGGYTTGTAATTACTGCTATAAGTGAGCAAATGTATATATCCAAAGCATCTCAGAACACAAAACACAAGAGCCACTACACTCACCTGCTTTCTTTAAGTACAGCATGTACCAGTCTTCTACCTGCACAGTTTTTGTCATTTTTTTAAAATGTGACTTGTAGAGTCAGTAGTTTTGTTGAATATGTTCAAATAAATCCTTCTGTGTCAGCTTTTACAGCAAATGCTCCATAATGTTTATAAGCCCTACTTTTGACAGTGTCAGCAACACAGAGTTAAAGATTTCATTCTGGTTAGCTTATCAAAAAGATATATTTGAAATTTAGCTATTGCCATGTGTAGATAAGAACATACACTCATATCTGCAACACACTATACTTTTTTCTGCTCTTCCTCTTCCTTGCTCACATCTTTTCTCGCTTCTCATACYGGCCTGGTCTCTGCCACAACTCACTGGTACAGACCAGAAGAGCTGAGTGTTGGTACCTACAGGGATTTATTTATGAGCCATTTGTGGCCTTGTGACTTCTGCAGCAGTGCTCTGTGTGAAGCCAAGGAAAAGCAAATTGAAGTTAGTTGATACAAGAAATGGARGACAGGCTTAGGTGCTCTGAGGGGCAGTGAAACACCTAATGCTGCCTCCATTTGGGCTGACTTGACATGTTAGAAGTTGTCAGAATAAACACTCTGACAGGACAGTGCTGCTTGGTGCAAACTTGGTTTTAGAGCCMTGGGCAGGCATTTCAGTAGTACCTCTGGCTTATTTTTGTCAGCCTTTGCAACTGCGCTGGAAAATAAGTTATGAATCTAGTTGATCTTATCTCCCTCACTTTTCCTGAGCTATTGTTAGTAGGATAGAGGAGTAAGAAAGAAGCTGATGGGCAAGAAAAATGAACTTGCTTAGGTGAGGGGCTAGATTGGTGTCTTTATTCTTCTGACATATAAATTATTTCCAGYWGAGARAGGCACAGAATCATSKCATTGRTGCTCTGGGTTGGATTGGAAGGGACCTTTAAGATTWTTWGTACCWGSGMAGGGACAYCTTCCAYTAGACTGGGCWGCTCAAAGCCCTRTCCAGCCTGGCCTTGAACACTTCCAGGGATGGGGCATCCACAGCTTTTCTGGGCAACSTCTGTCAGTGCCTCACTACMCTTSAATTTCTTCCTAATATCTAATCTAAACCTGCCCCCTTTCAGTTTAAAGCCATTTCCCCTTSTCCTGTCACTTCCCAACCTTGTAAAAAGTTCCTCTCCTCTTGTTCCCCCTGTTAGGTCCGGGAAGGCTGTTTCAAAGTCTCCCTGGAGCCTTTACTTCTCCAAGCTGAACAATTCCAAGTCTCTCAGCCTGTGTTCACAGGAAAGATGTTGTAGTCCTGTGATCATCTTTGTATCCCTGCTCTGGACCTTCTTCAACAGGTCAATCTCCTTCATGTGCTGGGGCCCCAGGGCTGGATGCTGAACTCCTGGTGGTGTCTCACAAGATCTCTGTACCTTTCAGCCAGGCTGTGGAAACGCTTGGAACTGTCAGGGGGAGGGTTTAGACCGAGCAGACTCTTGTGGACAGGGAGTCCTTGTGGAAGTAGCACAAATGAGCTGCATTACTGACCTAAGCAACCCTTTCATGCTGATGGCATCAAATTTTTCCTACAGCTGCTCTGAACTCATGGTCAGTGCAGGTCCAGCAAGCCATGGCTTGGGATCCATGCTGATGGAAAGTATCAGTAAGGCTGGTGGTTAGAAGGAAAATCTGATACCACTGCCAGATGCAGATTTCACTTCTCCCTTGGACTGACAGAACCATAAAACAAACCAAAATTCAGATGTGCATCTAAGATCAAAATCTAAAGGTGAATAAAAGACAGTGCCATGCTTTCTAGGAGAAATTTGTCTAGACCTTGGAGAGGTGACATTTTAATTTCATTACTGAACAACAGCTTAGTCCTTCATRAAAAGTCTTCTTTGGGCTCTAACAAAAAGGACAGATGCAGGATTGGTTGCTGAGAAACATTAGTCAAAACAATTAGTCTTATTGCTATTTGTTTGAGAGCCTTGTGGGCACTCAATAGGACTTAATTGCCATGATTTGACCTCCACTCCTTACCTCAGCCTTGGGTCCAGGAGCATCATTAAACTGGGATGAAGGCCTGTAGGTTGCTCTGAGCTGTCTCCTGCATTTTTTGGAAGGAGATTTTTTAATTGGAGATTGCCCTTGAATCCAGTTTGTCACCTCATGGTTTGTCACATTCTGCCTCACCCACATCTGGGGACTGAAGTCATCCACAGCAGCATAGTCTGTGATACCACTCGTGTCTCAGGAAGAATTCACACCAGCGGGTCAAATACAATCTTATCAAGGACTTCCCATGAAGTTCTTRGTTCTGCCTGAAAAGGATCTCTTGCCTTCTTTCCCCCAAACAATTCCAGATCCCACTCATTACTTTTTTTGCCCCCCAGTGCTATCCTAATATTTTATCATTACATCAATCTTTCCTCCAACTGTATCCTGCAAAGCTGCAAGGTTTTTTTCCTTGCAGACTCACCACATTTCTTATATCCCTGTATTACCAGGTTTCCCATTTTGCATYAGGTAGTTCACATTCCTCCACACTGTTGTAGTGTCTATAGATTTGCTGTGGCACACATTTCTCTTTGTCTTGCTCAACAGTTCCCCGGTCACATTGGTACAGCTTTTTTATGAAACAGAAAAGACATTTTAAGCCAAGAAACACAACAAATAGATACAGAAGAGAATTTTTACTTTGGTCTTGTTTTCTAYCTGCATGCATTTATTTTAAACACAATGTTTTAGCAGCAGTGTTAATGTGTATTAAACACATTTGACATTTGTTAGAAACAACCTTTCCTAGTGTACGTAGGGTAAGCTGGTATAAACTGGAGTGACTATATTTTTGGTAAAAGTGGAACAGTATCATGTAATGCGAGAAGATGAAGGTGAAGTTCATTTTTTTACTGTGCAAAAGGGGAAGTGGAAGAAACCATATAAGATGGTTTCTTATATCACTGGTAATCACTAGGTATTGTTCTTTCAAGACTTTTCCCCTCTATCCCTTTTTGTTTTCAGGATTTGGCTACTATACTTCAAGCTGGATCAAAMTTTTCCTGCTTTTAAATGTTGGCASAGTGCTCTGATCTTCACCTGTGTGTATACTTGTTCATTTGCTTTCTCTCCCTGCTAAGYAACTCTACCCTAAATTTTTATCTTAAATATGCTTGGGTAGGCTTGTGAAGGCAGGCACTGTGAGTACATCTGCTGGCTTTCCTTACAACAACTTCTCACAGAAGCCTCATTTTTTGGCATTTTTTYCCAGTCGCTGTTCCAACCAGCATGTTCCTGCAGATGTCACTGGTGCTACACGGTATTTTTAAACCTCGCAAATCCGTGTTTTTTTTTTTCAAAAGGTGCCATTTATACGTACAATCCTACATGATATGACACCAGCACCTTTGTGCTAAAACTGCCACCAGATCTGCTGTATTACATCTAATATTTACTCTGCTGCAGAAAAGATTAGGGGAAGGGCTTATTACCTTGGCAAAGAAAGGAAGACTTTAGTCACACAGATAATCATAAGTCAGCACAGAACTTCTTCCTAAGTTGCTCTGCATAGAAATCATCCTGTGCTCAGAACTTAGAGCAGAGCCTTGTGCCACCCATGGAAAAGGAGAGAGAACCATTGCGAGCTGAGAGCAGGTCCTCAGCAGTGGCTTGTCAGAAAAAAGTGCCCTCTCTTCTGATATAGGTGGTTTTTTTTCTCATTAAGCTATTAAAGCTGTTCTACTTTTACATTCATCTGRTTCTGCTGCTTTTGAGAGATGACTGCAAGCAGAGTCAATCCTCAAGTATATAGAAAGACAATATGCCAGTGCAAATGCCATCTTTGTAGGATATGAGCAAAATTAGTTTCTGGAATAAAGCCAAGGAAGTTAATGGTCATATCCTCTGAAGTTTAAGGGTTTATATTATTTGTCATCTATTTCTGTAATAATTTCTGGTATGTGCTAATCAATCAGATTTCAGCTGGTTCTACAGATGCTGTCTCAGGTTAACTCACCACCTGGTTTTGTAGTATTATACTGACACACTGTTTTGTCCTGTTCTCTGTTGCTGGGTTGTTCACACTAGTTAATGTCACAATATAATTTTTTCATTATTATACATCAGGTATAATGAAAGCAAACTGCACTGGCCTCTGACTCACTGCCTTTAACAGCCTTGCACCTGGTGTTGAATCCCTCTTTATCATCCTAGAGGAGCTGGAATTAGTGTGCTTKGAGAACCTGTATGTAAATGCTTGCAAGTTTTTTCTTGATAATGAGTGGCAGTATTATATTTTTTAATATTCTTCCCA